TTCTACCGAAGTCCTAGGTGCTACAACGTGGTCTAGTAGAGTCTAGCAGAAGTAGTAGTTGTAGTCGTAGTAGTAGTAGTAGTAGTAGTAGTAGTAGTAGTAGTAGTAGTAGTTGCAGCAGCAGCAGCATTGATTTCTGAAGCTCGCGGTGCACACTCCCTTTCGCAAGCTCGACTGATGCTTGCGCACCCTTCCGCTCGCTTTTGCCATGCAGCTCTTCATGCTGACTACCTTTCTGAGGTTTGTTCCTGCTCGGCTGCTGCAACTCGAGTCTGTTGCACGGTTCACGTGGTCATGACATTTTCCTATCGGATCAGTACGCCGACATCGAGTTATAACAGTAACCGTTGTCAAGCACACATGGTCAAGCACTCTCTGACCGAGCCCTACTTCCCCCCTCTCCGAGCGTTGTGTCTTCGCATTTGTGTCTTCTGCTTTTGGGTTTGGGGGCTCAATCTCCTTACTTTGCTTTAGATGCGTTTGGGTGTCGGTTCGGCGGGATCTGTGAACGTCCAGCGTGTAAGGGTGAGCGGATGTGGGTTCAATCTCGCCTTGCCCTTCTGTGGGTCAGGAGGTGCTGGGTTTGGATAGCCATCACAAGGGAAACCATGTTAGAGAGAGCTTGAAGGTTGATGACAGACATACTGAGGCAGCAGCATAGGGGCTGTAGGAGACACCTGACACATCCAGAATATCCACAATTTGTGGATGATCAAAGGCTAAGGCTGGCATTGCAACATGATAAAATCGTGAGATGATCCACATGCGGCAACCTTTTGTTGCTGACGTAAGCATAAGGATCTCACGAGCTGCAAACCGAACTTTCTCATCGACACACTTCATGGCCCTCTGTCCTACAGTTTGGGAAAGGCTCCCGACCTCATTGCAGTCTTGCCTTGCTGAGCCCGGCACTTCTGAGGACCGTGTACTGCAACTCAGATCATGGCAAGCTCGCAGCTTTCTGAAGGCTTGGGTATGCTGGGCAGAAGGCAGATCTATCCGGGCGTGGGTATGATAAGCAAGCAGCCTGTGAAACAGGGGATGGTTCATCCCCGCTGTTGGTCTAGAGATCAGGAAACTTGTCGGAGGCCTCCTGGACGAGGCCCTGACTGAGCCTCCACGATGATCCTCCTCCATGTAGTTGCGGACATTGCAGCCAGCAACCTGGCCATGCATAAGGTTTAGGGTTTAGGGTTTAGAGTTTAGGGTTTAGAGTTTAGGGTTTAGAGTTTAGGGTTTAGGGTTTAGGGTTGTTGTGATTACTATCAGGGCCCAGAAGGGAGAAGCCCCACACAGATCCCGCCTCCGGGCAGCAAAGGAGCTCTAACCAGCCGAGGTACAGCCTCGCAAGCAATGGCTCAAGAACAATACTGACAACAGTAATGATAGCAATAATCATGACAATAATAGTAGAAATAATAATGATAATGGTGATAATAATGATAATCATGATAGTAATAATGGCAAGCAAAATGCCGATAATAGTAATCATAGAACGATAGTAACAATAATAATAACAACAGACTGCATGGGCACCCTTCCCGTCATTGTGCCAGTCTGGGGCATACAATATCTTCATTTTCGAACTGTCCGGAAGATGCTCAGAAGCAGGATCAGGAATAAGTACCAACAGGGCTTTCCATTCACTGAAGGTAAGCTCATATTGGAAGGATCCCCCTCACAGTAGTAATATCCCTGTATAGTCCCATCTGGCTATACTAGACTGTACCGCAAAATCTCTGAAATTCTTGGTGTGCTCCACTCGTCTGTTGATATGTGGCGAGTCCTCAGGTCGTTGCCTCTCGCTGAAGTAGAGATGACGGCCGGAGTCTGGCAGTGGCCGCCCATACATGAAAGAGGTGACCACCTCGAGATTGCAAGGACACGGACAAACCCGACTTTGGTAATCAAGCTGGTGAGGAAGTGGTCCCGGTGCCACGAGGACACAAGCTGTAACATCAAATCGCACAAGCACGAGTCAGCCGCGATCTGGTACACTCACAAGAGTCAGACACTTGTGGCATCTTGTGGCAAGTTATTGTAAGGCAACTCTACAATCGGTGACATGGCTTGGCCTGGGGTGGCCTTGGCATTTAAGCTACACTTCACAAATCCAAGGCCGCGGCTCCCATGGTTCAAACTGAAAGGCCGACGTGGAGGTTGTGAAGCTGCTTTTTCTGCTAGGTTTGCAAGTGCATGTTAGTGAAATGGCGATGGGATGCATGCAGTTCACAAACTGATGAAATAAATGGTGTGAGCATGCCTGTGGAGCTGTGGAGCATTGTCAAACTAGTACTAGCTCTCTCTCGCGGTCTGGCAGCGTTTGCGCGCTGGGCTCTTAGTCACAGTGTCCGGCTCAGCCTTGAGCGTGGGAGGGAGCCAGCTCAAGCGAGTAAACTTGAATAAACCCCAAGCTGGGTGTATACGGCATCTTCCCTCTCCCAAGCACAACAGCTGATTAGCAATTCAATAGCTCCTTATGGCCCCTGAACCGTTTACCCCAGGGGCAGACTTCGAGAGATCGTACCTGGAGCAGGTGCTGGCCTTTTCGTGGCTGCAGGAAGCAAGTGATGGGAAAACGCTGGTCTCGCTCTCTGCCCTGTGTTAGGAAGCTTGCAGCGGTGGAGCGCTATCCCTGTGCATCAGCAGAGGGTTGTTGAAGTTCCAACTGAAGACGTTCGAACTTGCCCTTCACTTTGCCATCTTCGTCTTATGGCGAAATGTCCGAAGGCAGTTCCGCAAGTTCTCCATCGAGAGACTCCGCTACCGAGCCTGTGCCATCCTCGAGTGCCTCAGCTCAAACTCCAAAAAAAGACTTCCGTCGCCCCTCCCCGGCCAGTATGATCACTCGATGCTTTGAAAGACTCTCTGCTCTTTGCCACTGGGCGTCGCGTGTCAGTGCCGCCACGAAGGCCTCTGGATCCTCGCATGACTGAATGACTGGTCTTGACGTTGAGCAAACCGCGAGATCTGTCTGCGAAACGCAGATTAGCAAACAGTATGAGAGAGTGGCCTCCACTCTGATTATCCTACAAGTTCGGAGCTTATTGCCCGAAGTCAAGCGAAGCTCTGGCAAGAGAAAACGAAAAACCGAGCAATCCCGCACAATCAATTTTTGCTGTAAAATATACTGTATATTGTATATAGCTGAATGTAGATTACCGATTAATTAGGTGTGTGTGTATATATATATATACACACAGATATGTGTATATATATATACATAATATACATATATACATATACACATATGTATACATATACATATATGCTATATATATATATATATATACATATTATGAATATATACCCCAGATCGGCCCAGGCCTGAGCCAGTTCAGCGGCCGGATGCGGGCCAGGCCCTGGCGCGACGGAGCGAGTCGTCAGCGCACCCGCTGCAGCGTCTGCTTCCTCCGCGGCCTCACTGTTTTAAGGTTTAGGGTTTAAGCTTTTAGGGTTTAAGGTTTAGGGT